TGGCTGCTCTTTGAACTCTCTCAAGTTTATCTATATTTTTTTCAAGTGTGGACCACTGCACCATACTCAAGACTAGGCCATATGATGGCTGCAATGACTTTCTTTACCATGTCTTAGTCCACATGCACGAATGCCCTCTTCATGTTGGCAATCAGCCCTAGCATTTTATGAACTTTGTCATTTATATGATCATTTGGGCTCAATTTCCTGTTTATGATTATTCCAAGGTCTTTTTCTTTATCTGCTTGGTTTGATATTACATCTCCTGCCTTGTGTTGGTATAGTGGATGATTTTACTTTCTCCGAACCTGACTACATGGTGTTTATTGGTATTAAATTCCATTTTCAAGGTACAACTCCAAATTAATGAAGTTCTCGGTATCACTTTGGAGACATCTGCATGAGACATCGTCTATTATCAGGTTTCTGCAATTACGCGTCGTCTACAAACATGTTCAGATAACTACCTGGGCTTATGTTTGACCCTAAATCATTTATGAAAATAGTAAACATAATCGGCGCCAAGAGGTACTCCGGTAGTTACTCGTCGCCATGCAGAGTGCTTCCCCCTCTAATTACGGTCTCATCTGTCTTTCATGCAGAAAGTCTTCCATCCATTCGAGGAGTTTGCCCTTCATTCCACCTAGGTGTTCTGATTTCCATAAAAGTCCTTTATGAGAAACCTTCTTAAAGTCTAAGTATACACAATCCACCCAGCCGCCTCTTTCTTGTAATATTTCAGAAACACTATCATAGAAACAGAGATTTGCTACGCATGACCTTCCTTCCCTAATATCAAAATGTTTATTTGATATCATATCATGTTTTTCAAGTACTTCAACCCACTGTTTCCTAATTATTCCTTCTAACAGCTTGCATACTACACTAATTAACGAAACTGGTCTGTAATTTTGTTTGTCGCCTGTCTTGTATAAAGGTGTAACATTAGCAAGTTTCCAATCTTTTGGTAGTTTTCCTTATCTCACAGACTTTTGGAATATTAACAATAACGGAGTACATAATTCTTCGGCACATTCCCTCAGAACCCAGTTAGATATCTCATCTGGTCCCTCTGCTTTATTCTTTAGAGGTTGTTTTTTTATTTCATTCTTTTCGAGTGTGATATTTTCGATACTTTGATTTGCGTTTGTACGGTTACTTGCCATTTCAAAGTATGGCTCCTGAACATACAATGACTGAAATTTCTTATTAGGTTTTCACACATGTGCGTGTGTGTGTGTGTGTGTGTGTGTGTGTGTGTGTGTGTGTGTGTGTGTGTGTGTGTGTGTGTGTGTGTGTGTGTGTGTGCGTGCGTGCGTGTATGTGTGCGTGCGCGCGCGCGTGTGCGTGTGTGTGTGTGTGTGTGTGTGTGTGTGTGTGTGTGTGTGTGTGTGTGTGTGTGTGTGTGTGTGTGTGTGTGCATGTGTGCGTGTGTATGTGTATGTACAGCATGTATGTACGTATGCAGGAAACTTGCAATGGAGTTTATTATAATTTTTTTTTTGTAGATATGTTTAGACATGTGGCGATTGGCGACTATGAGACAAAATACATTGTGGTATATTGTGGTATTTGCATACAGATTCTTCTCTCCTTAAAAAAAAAATAATAATAACGTATTGTTATAAATATAAATATATTTACTTCATATTATCTTAAAGTTACTAGCCATTTTCTATAGTTCGTAACGCATTTTCGAGGGTAGACTTGCATAATAATGTATGCGTGTGCGTGTTTGTGTGCGTGTGTGTGTGTATATGTGTGTGTATATGTGTGTGTGTGTGTATATGTGTGTGTGTGTGTGTGTGTGTGTGTGTGTGTGTGTGTGTGTGTGTGTGTGTGTGTGTGTGTGTGTGTGTGTGTGTGCGCGCGCGCGCGTCTGTGAGTGAATGAATGACTTGTGCGTGTGCGTGTTATATATATATATATATATATATATATATATATATATATATATATATATATATATATATATATATATATATATAAATACTTACATATATACATATATATATATGTTTTTTCTATTGTATGCATTTATACAAAAAAGGTGCAAGAAAATTTGAATAATTTCTCATTTCTGAGGCTTGTCTTTGGTAAGCTGTACAGAAAAAACGCGATTTTTATTACATAACCTTAACGACAAAGTAGCACCTTCTGCTAGAAATACATAGCGGTTTCAGTCATATGAGTGGCATGCAGAACCCAGCTCACCTTTATAAGTTAATATTAGTATATGGATATAAGATATAAAATTGACACATAAAATGTTAATTACCTGCGGGACAATCATTCCCACTGTCATGAATTCTACTGGTGTTCCCAGATGCACTCAAAATATCTGCGCTCAACCAATTATCACTTAAATTAACTTCAGATAGTTGGTGCATTCAATTTCCTTTTTAATATATTTATCTATTTTACATTTACTGAAAGAACCTAATTAATCTTTTGCCTAAAACAGAGCAATCGAGCAAGTTAGTTAGGTCTAGTTTAGTTTAGTTAGAGTAGTTAGTTTAGTTAGAGTAGTTAGTTTAGTTAGTTAGAGTAGTTAGTTTAGTTAGCTAATTAGATACTTTAATTAGTTTAGTTAGTCTGGCTACTTATAGTGCAACCAATCTAGCAATCTAACTTAGCGCATTTTCGCTAAACTCAGCGCATTTTCGCTAAACTCAGCGCTAATTCGCGTTGGCAACACGTCCATCAGAGAATGTTGTGATTCCGTCAAAAAAAAAAAAAAGTAAATAACAAAGACCTACTCTTTTTTCTCCAGCATTTTCAGGGTAACGTGTGACTGGCTAACGTGCAATCTTAGAAATAAGTTAAATATAGGGTTTAAATCATTTATTTCTTTTATTTTTTTCGTTTGCTTTTGTAATTTAATTCTAAGATCTAGTTTTTTTTTTTTATTTATATATTTATTGGCGTCTGGTTTTTGTTATTTCTCATTACTGGATGGCGTTAAGGGTATTCTTATTGAAGTATTTAAGTATTTTCGACGTGTTTGTGTTTGTGTGTTTGTTTGATGGGAATTGTTGCTACATGGTGTGGTACCCAGCCGGCAGCCGGTCAATTTCGTGCCGAGAATCGATGGCAAAGCAGGAATTGGAGAGCCAGTAATTATCTTGGAAGCTCAGTGCAGGTAATGCTAATGCAAATAGAGTGGAAGATTTCAAGCGGCAAAAGCTGTGATGAGGCGGAAATAATAATGCCTCGATAAGTTCCTGTGTTCTGACTTCTGCGGCGTTTGCAACTCCTCCTCTCGCTCGTCCAGTGGCTTCGGTATTTTAGTAGACGAGGGTGTTTATATTGCATGCGGCATAGCTTTGTAATTACTCTGATGCAAAGGTAACTTATCTGTGGCTGAGAAAAACTGAAATAACCTTTGCTAACAATAATTAAAGGCCAAAAGATAACCTACCAACTATCTTGTGGTTCCCATGACCATCATTGGTTGCATGCAATTGCTATCGTGACGTTATCTCGTCCTGCTCCTTTGACTGCAAGGGTGGGTTGGGGGGACGAAATGAACAGCCAGGGGTGTCACTGGGGGGGCCATGGGGGGGACAGTTACCACCCCAACACTGATTGCCCTTCTAGGTCTGGCTTGCTTCCCCCCTTAAGGGCCACACTCTCAATATTTTTGGCTAAATTGCACCTTTATAGATCAGATCATAGCGTAAACATCCTCCTAGAATATCTTATTTTTCGAAAATTCTCTTGGGGGAGCTCACAGTGCCCAAGAAACTGATATTAGTCACTTCACTTGACAACCTTCCCCCCCACCCCCCCTCCAAGAAAAAGCTGAAACCACGCGCTTGTGAACATCTTGTCAGACGCCAAAATAGGGATTCCAGACGGTAAACACGCCTTGCCCATTGCGTCCAGCTTTTTGAAAGAGGAGTTTTGAACGCAGCATTTGAACCAGTGTTTGATTTATTCCCCTTGAAATTTAATGGATAGATGCTTTGTTTGTGTACTATGACATTCATAACAGTAAGACGAATTTCACTGTCAGATCTTTGCTTTTAGTCAGAGTTCTCACAGATGCACAAAATTTGTTTTGCCAAATTTGATATTACAGAATCTGTCTGAATGTCAGAGAAACTCATTAAATTATTGTATAATTTTTCAGCATTGTTGTAAGGCATTTTTTTAATGTACTTTGTTGTAAGGAACTTAAAAGTAGTCAGACCTGAAGTCCCTTATTTTCTAGGGCAATTGAAGCCGCAGAGTCCAGTTAAAGCTGTGATATTGCTTACCTACAATGGTTTTGCACTTCCTCTATTTTACGATTTTTTACATTCTTCTCTGTTCTTGTTTCTTTTTTTCTTCGTTCTTTTCTTTTTTCTTTTTTTTTGTTCATTTATTTTTTTTATGCTTTTCTAGGTGGTGCATTTTGCTTTTGGTTTTTGTAATTTGTTTTCTTTATTCACTTTTTTTTCTCCTTAGGTATTTTCAGGCCAATTGCCTAAAAAATACTGTCATGAAATGTTTTCTTAGTTTAAACAGTAATTCTATCGAGTACAGATTTTAGTGTTTGTATCTGCATATCATTTCTTGCACCAACAACTGCAGTGTAACATTATCTTTAATTTGCCCTAGTTTAGTCCATGCCATAAAGATTAACTTAAACCTTTAATTTGTAACATAAGTATTGATAAGGTCACATTAATGAGATAGAGAGCATTAACATGATCCTAGATAAGAGTAAACAAACAAAATGTTTGATATACACATTTTCATGCAACTGGTCAGAGAACATCTTTGGACGAGCATGTCTTTATTTGTGTTAAGAAATATATGTGTGATTGATCTTGCTTCATTGCTCACTTGAATTTGCCCATGTGGGACGAAATGGGAATTTTAGTTCTAAATACGTGAAAAAAAATGTCAGATCTGTAGTAATTTAGGCATGGGTTTAATCATGGTTATTGGCGTCAGTTAGACAGTAGTGATGTGAAATATCAAAGCAGCATTAATAGTAGTCAGTGATATTCAGACAATACTATACTTTTCCAGTAATTGTCTGTATTTTTAAACCTAGTGTCATTTATAAAAAAAAAATTCAAAAAGCTCACCGTCATTGACTGTGGATTGCAACATCTTACCTGGACCCCTTATTCCATAGAAATAGGCTAGACTCTTAAAGGCTATATACACATTATGATATGCCATATAATTGGAGCTTCTGTGTGAGCCTGCATGAAAATCAAACAGATTCATTGCAATTTTCCTCTTCCACCTTACAGACTTCGTAGTAGCACTTTGCAGATTCATGCTATAAAAACACTGCTCATTGGCATATTTGGATCTGTTATTCTGATAAAAATCTATTTTATAGTCCCCTAATTATTGAACCTTCTACAACTTTAGAACTTATAAGTGTCATAGCTTAATTTTTTTTTACACAGCCATTTAAAAATAGTTTGACAATTATAATAATATCACCTAAAACCCATTTTCTAGTGAACATGGAAGCAAGCAGTGGTAAATCGTACTTGTGTGAATGGGTGTGTCAGTCCATACATTCTATATCAGATTTTTTAATATCCTTATTCCCTGTATATTTGTGAATTTCTTAAAGTATTTCCTAGTAACTCCTATTTTTCATTCTAGGATAAAGGCCAGTGTCTGGGAGACATTAGCAGCAGATATATTTAGCCAAGATGGGTGATGGAATGCTATCCCTGTCTTGGAACAATCACCATGCTACTTTCTGTGATATATTAAGTAAATTAAGAGAAAAGGTAAGAACTTGATGTCTGTGTATTTTTTTCAAACAGATGATTAGATGGGTGTAGAATATTTTACAGTGTAATATTCTTAGAGCATTGATTTCCATGCTTTCAGTTCATGTTTTTCTGTTTTGAAGCAGCAACCTCTGATTCTGAAGATTGAGATTCATGTCTTTCTCTTTTTACAGGAAAGCTACACAGATGTAACATTGTCCTGTGAAGGAAATTTTTATCCATTGCATAAATTAGTCTTGTCAACGTGTAGTGAATATTTTGAGAAAATATTTGAAAGAACACCATGTAAACATCCAGTTATTGTGCTAAATGACATTAAGTGCAGAGAACTTGAGGCACTGTTGAGCTATATGTATGCTGGGGAAGTGAGTGTGCCACAAAGCAACCTAGCTATGCTTATAAAAGTGGCAGAAGTCCTGCAGATCAAGGGCCTGGCAGTGCCTGACACGCCCCCAACTCCTGCCAAATCTAAGTCAAGTTCGCTCGAGTCTGGGGCTGAGAGAATCAGCCCACACCCTCCTAAAAGACGCAGGACAGAGGAAAGACTTGTAGACACCACCAGAACCATGCACGAATCCACAAGTCCCAACGTCAGATTGAACCCCACCGAGAAAGGGAGACAAGTGACGCATGAAGAGGGACACCCCAGGAAAGGCCAGGAAGAAGCTCAAGACCCTCTTTCTGTGTCTGAGATTGGGGTATGTATAATTAAAGGAAAATTTGTTATTTACATATCAACAATGGTTGTTAATGGCAACATATCTAACATTATCTTTGTCTGTTTCTCCCATACAGCGGGAAGATTATTATGCTGCAGAAATAAAAGAGGAGATTATCGAGGATGTGGTTGACAGTGAAGGCACTCAGATAGGAAGGACAGATCACAGCATAGAATACGATGCTCAACTTGCCCCTTTCAAAAGTGAGGGCAGCAGTAGAGACAGCATATCAGGACACACAGGCTCAGCAGAATACAGCGATCCACAGTTTGAACACCTCAACACCTCTGGACTGCAGACAAATGAAATGAACCCAGGACCCTCGGAGATGATTGAGGTTTGTGTGCTCATTGTGGCTTTTTTCAGTTTATACCCATGGAAAGTCTGAGGAATCTATAATCTATCTCCACTGAGTATTTAGTGTTAGTAGACTTTCCATGTATACCAGCCTTAATTACCTGCTCTTTGCCATATATTTACAGATATCCTTCAACATTTAAAGCCCCCTCAAAGCAAAAGTGTGAGCATTCTCTTGCATGGTAACAATCTTCGGCATAGCTATGTAAAATACACACCACATTTTAAGAGAGAATTGTTATTTTATATTTTGTTTTTCTATTTGGCTACTGATTCAGTGTTCCTAGTTCAGGGAGGATTATATTTTTTCTCCCATTTTCCATTTTTGTTGTATTATCATTCCTGCTTTATGGAGAGACATCCTCTTTAATGTTCATTTCTTATTTATCATATGATATTGTAGTTAAGGAAATGATTGCAACATCACTATAGACCTGTATATTTATCATCTACAGTGGCAAGACGGTATAGTAGAATCGGACATGACTTCTGGGGAAGGCTGTAGTGGAGTGGGCATTCTTCAGCCATCATCACCCATGCTAGGCCAGCAGACGCCACAGCTTCTAACACAGCAAGGGGTCAGTGTCCTGTTTTCCTTTCAGCGTGTTCACTTTGGGATTACTGCGTGTCATGGGTATGATCTCTCATCCCTCTTGGGGTTGCATTATTAG